GGACCCTGGGTACGAGGTTGTAATCATGAAAACTATAAACGCAATTGTATTCGTATGCTGGCGGTTACCAAACGTGCGTTACCAAAGCATTGTAATAAAAACGTGTTTAATATATTATTATTTCTGCGCCCTCGTCTAAGTGGGGATAAGGGAATATATTGTTGCCGGTATATCATTAACTAAAAAATACTGCTATTCTATACAACTTGGCCTGTATCTAGAGCCGATATCGCTTTTGAGCAAGAAATATTTTTTCTGGCTCGGAAGGAAACTAAACACTGACCTTGTAGCAGAATATGTAGAATATATCTGGCTTGTTTAGGTTCATTGGAACGAAAACGCTTTGAAGCGACACAGGACTGAATTACTTTCTGTCCCGTTTGTCATAAATTGTGCTTTTTACTCCGCGATAAATTTTATCATTGATATGCATTGCAATTGTTATAGTCATTGAATATGTAAAGTATTTTTGAATCTGAATATATTGTTTTGAAGATACTTTAAAAAACATAAAAGGTCAAGTATTGCAGTTTCATCGACTTAATTGTTTACAATAAATTCTTATATACAAACATGCGGGTATATTTCTCGAGCACAATTTATAATTGATATCCATATCGCGCGTTGCCGTTGTGCATATAGAATTGCGCTTGGCATGAAATGCAAGTTTGATTGTGATTCTGCTTGATCGCATACAGCGGTAAAAGTTTACGAGCCCTCCGTTTGCGAGAAATAGAATTGTTGTGATCCAACTACTGGGGGTTTCTTGAACACGCAATCTCTACGACATGCATGTTTAAAGACTGACTGTTGCGAGATCGCTCTAATTCTTACGTAATTCCTATAAAGGCACTCTCGGTTGATTCTGCAGAAGCACAACGCACAAGCATATTTCGTTTAGTTTCTACATTAAAAGGAGGAAAGTCATATGTTAAAGTCGAGTTCGTGAAGTTATTCTTATAGTATGCACTTGAAATTTACATCAATCATAGAAAACTCTGACAAATGTTGCAAAAGTTTCTGGTTTACAACTTCGCGCAATGTATAATTATATATTCTGTTAAAAACACAAGAATGAATATTCCGAAATATACAATCGTTTTATAACTCGAGTATAATGACATCAGAGTTAATGTTAGATTATTATTAATAAAATCTCTCGGTGAAGTGAGATTTATTTGTAAGTGTGCGAGTTAACTAGAAATAACGTTCAATGATAATGAGATAAAACGAGGGAGACCCGCTAACTTGAAAAAAATCCAAAGTATTGTGACAGGTGTAATTTTTTTCTTCAGCTCGTTAAAAAGATCGCTATCTTACTCTGCTTCGTTCTTTAGTAAAAGTGAATGATTTATAAATGATAATAGACTCGTAAATATGTTGCTTAAACTATATTATATGCTTTTTCATTCGTATATTGGCGATTAAAAGGTTTGAGTTTTTCTTCGTAAACAGTTTAAGTTGTAATTCTGACGTAAAATAAACATTCGAGCGCTGCTACTCTTAAGAACGTGTCAAAGTAGGTTGTGGCTGAAAAAAAAACCCAATTCGGCTGTGAGGGAAATTTAGGGTTTTTTGTCACAAAATTCTGGGTTGTTTTGGTTCATTAGAACGAAAAACATGAATCAATTCCAGAACTTAATACACATCCTGGTTGCAAAAAATTTGCGCGTTTTAGTCAACGATATGTTTTATCAACGATGAAAGTCATAATCATTGAAGTATGACAATATAAATTTTTATTATAAGGCAAGCGTCACTTCCGGTGAAATGGAAGTGATTGGCTGAGAACAATTTTCAGCGGTCCATTACTTTCCCATTACTTTTCCGTAATTTTCAGCTGTCCGTTACTTTCCCATTACTTTTCCGTAATGGACCGTTACTTTACCGTAATGGCCAGCGACCATGCATTACGAGATGAAAACACAGAAATTCTGAATAAAAAAGGCACAAAGAAATGCTCAAGAGAAAAATGAATTCCTTTTAATTCCAGACAGTTTAAGTAAAATGTTTTATCAAATGCTTACCAGGCTACTAATGCGAATTCATGCATTTATTGTTTTTTTCAAGTGCAAATACATGCCTTATGCCATATAATGATTTCTTATTAGCCTTGCTTGCTGGGTCTTTACCGAGAAATATCGGACCTCGATCTTTTTGTACTCTTCGAGCTCGGTCTATTCAAAAGACCTCGGTCCGATATTTCTCGGTAAAGACCTCGTGTTCGGTCAATAAAAAGTTATTATTTCATAAATGAACGGAGATACATATAAACGAGAGATATACGGAGCTTCATCTGATTGATTGCATTTTTATTGGCGTTAACGGCACACCAAAGCAGCGTAGCTTTTTGAAAGGGGAGTTACATTAGTTCGAATTTAGTTCGAATTCTACTCGTTTGCATCGTCAGAATCAACGCTCTATAGTGCTTCAACAGTAATAGTATCCCACTAGCATTGTATGCGACGCGTTGTAAACAATCTGGTTCAAATCTCATCACGGCGCGGCGATAAACGCGTCCTCAGCCAAAAACATTGTCTATCGCGAACCTTCAATTCGCAATGGAACAATCTATAGCAATCGACGACCTAAAGAAGGCTCGTAGCAGCGCAAAGGCCAACGTAACGCGCAAAGTGAATCGGATTTCGAGTCGATGCTTTCAAGCGACAATGTTGACGTTGTCAAGGAAATGTCAACAGAATTACAACATGCTACAAGCGAATTTAAGGCTGCTCACGAGACATACAACAAACAATTGACGAATGAAGACGATTTGGGTCACTCTGCCAGCTATTTTCATACCGTGTTAGAACAAGTGCGCGCCATAGAAACACAAATGCAATCGTGGCTCAAACAACAATGCATTGCACTCAGCTAGCAACGTGGCATCGTATACCTCCTCGCGCGCTAAGTCTGAGACCAGCTCGCAAGAAACTCAGCAAGCGCGAAAGCAAGAGCGACAGCCAAGATAGCAGCGCTTTAAGCTAAAGCTGGTCTATCCAAGAAAGGCAAGAGCTCGAACTCGAAGAACTTAAACTAAGTCAAAGAACTTAGGACTGAGTTAGCGGTCGCCGAAGCTGAACAAAGAGCCTACGAAGAAAGCGAAATCGAGGAAATACGCAGTCGTAATGGCAAAAGTGTTTTACATAGCTCGCCACCGGTCCAGCGCAAGTTAAACCTCGCCGATCAAGGACGCGAAAATGCTCCAAAGGTTTCTTCAAGTCCCGAGGCAAAGCCCGCTGCCGTAGACATGTCTGGACGTCAAACACTCAACCCTGGAGCCCCCGAATGACGCGCTGTTACGCCGCAGGGCTGCAAACGCTCGTACGTCAAAGACCTTCCTCAATTGGATAAGTTCCGCGAGGAATCGTTTCAAGCGCTAATGACGACGCAAGAACTTCAAGATGGGGTGCTACAGCAGCTGGTCGAACAGCAACAAGAAAGCGTAATGGCGCTTACCTTACCACGACCCAGTTTGCAGACGTTTAACGGCGATCCCTTAGGTTACTGCGACTTTTTGCGTGGGTTTGAACATCTGGTAGAGCGCAAGGCAAACGACCCCAGCGCAAGACTCTACTTTTTAGTGCAGCACACTTCCGGAAGCGTGCAGGAATTGATGCGAAGTTTTCTGCCCATGCAGTCAGAGGAGGGGTAAAGAGAAGCGCGACGCTTGCTTAAGGAGCGATACGGTCAGAAATACAAGATCGCCGCCGCGCACGTACAGAAACTCATTGACGGGACCCCCATCAGAACAGAGGACGGCAAGAAGCCGCAGAGATTCTCCATCCAGCTGGTGAGTTGCACCAACACATTGAAGGAAATTGGTTACATAGGGAAACTGGACAATCCAGACAGATTTCGTGACGATGAAGGCTAGAGCAGCCAGCCATCCTGTGTTCGGTGAACTTAAAAGAGCGTCAGACAAAATCACCAGCCCAGGAAATCAACGACCACGCCGTAATGCCAACGGTTTCGCGACGCAAGGGGGCGAGCAAACCTCGACTGAAGCCAGAGAAAAGTGGTGCCCATTATGTAAGATGGCCCACTGGCTGTCACGCTGCGAAAGTTTCCCGAAGCAATCATTAGCCCGAAGAAGACAAGTAGTCAAAAACAGCAAACTGTGCCTCAACTGTCTACTGCCAGGACATTTTGTTAATGCGTGTCCCAAACCCAGTGACTGCAAGGTGCTAGAATGTGAAACAAAGCACTCAACGTTTCTGCATCCGAGGTCCGAGAGAACGCCCGAACGCGACGCTGATGCAACACCCCCTCTAAACGTAGAAACCAGTCAAGAGAGCGTAGCCGACGGAAACAGTACGCCGACAGACGAGAACCCTACACAAGCATATCGTTTGTACGTTCGAATGTCGACCAAACCCAACGCGCCAAGGTAAGATTCTGCGACAGCGCTGGCCATCGTTCCTGTGCGCGTCAAGGCATCTGGCCATGGTGCATCTAAGACGGTGGAAACGAATGCGTACTTGAATTCGGGCTCGAATACATCATTCTGCACCGAAGCCCTGCTCGACCAACTCGACCTTCAAGGCCGCAAGACGAGTATGTCGCTGACGACGACACAAGGTAAAAACTCGCTCGTGCAGTGCTCCCAGGTGAGTCTTGAAGTGTCTTCACTGGATTCAGCAGCACAGCCCGTTAATATGCCAGTGGTGTATTCACGACCATCTCTACCGATCTCCCGCGACGCCATCAGTAACCAGGAAGATGTAAACCGCTGGCCACATCTTGAAGGATTATCCTTGCCAAAGATCGACACCGAAATCGGCCTGCTTATCGGAAGCAACGTCCCCGAAGCAATACAACCAATGGAAGTACGACAAAGTGAGAGCGGATGACCTTCTGCGATTCGGACCATCCTAGGATGGGTACTCAATGGCCCTCTTGGTAGAGAAAAGAACACGCCAGCTACGTCCAACTTTTTGCAGAGCACTGCTCGTCTTGTTCGTGTCTTGACAAGATTTCGCGAGAAGCGCGTGGCTATGATGTCGGATGTCGAGGCCATGTTCTACCAAGTCCGTGTCCCTCCTGAAGATCGTAAGGCTCTGAAATTCCTGTGGTGGCCGGATGGCGACCTGGATCAACCAGTGCAGGAGTACGAAATGAACGTACACCTATTTGGAGGTGCCTCATCGCCCAGCTGCGCAAACTTTGCTCTGCGGAGAACCGCCCAAGATAACAAGGCCGAATTCGACCCAGAAACAACCGAAAATGTCGAAAGAAACTTCTACGTTGATGACTGCTTGAAGTCCATTCCAACAGATCCGGAAGCGGTGAGATTGGCAAACCAACTGCGGGGATTGCTGGCAAGGGGAAGATTCAGATTAACGAAGTGGACTTCCAACTCTAAAGCCGTGCTGGAGTCACTACCAGAATCAGAAAGATCGGAGGAAGTCAAGGACATGAACTTGGACAAATCTCCTACTAAGCGAGCCCTGGGTGTTCGTTGGAACGTATCATCAGATAAATTCGGTTTCAGTATTGTAGTGAAAGACCGCCTGCAACCAGACGAGGCATTTTGTCCGTGGTCAGTTCCATTTTCGATCCGCTGGGATTTGTCGCTTCGTTTATTCCTAAGGCGAAACAAATCCTGCAGGACTTATGCCGCTTGAAGCTCCGTTGGGACAACCCAATCCCGGACGAATACCTGGCTCGTTGGCTATCGTGGTTGAAGGAACTGGCGAAGCTCGAGGATGTGCAAATAGATCGGTGTCTCAAGCCTACCAATGACAGTTTGTTCCAACTACATCATTTCTCTGATGCGTCGCAAGACAGCTAAGGAGCCGCCACCTACATACGTGTAGAAGATGAGGCTGGCAATATCAAGTGTTCGTTTGTAATGGGGAAGTCCCGTTTAGCACCGATCAAACAAGTCACGATACCGTTTTTCTGGACCGACAACACGTGTGTCCTACGCTACCTACAGAACAAGGATAAGCGATTTCAGACCTTCGTTTTTAATAGAATTTCTACGATACTTGATGCATCTTCTACTTCCCAGTGGCATTACGTCAACACCCTTGCCAATCCAGCCGACGTCGCATCTCGTGGCGTGCCCGCGCCGGATTTCCTGAGCAAGCCAAAGGCCGCTTGGCCACAGCCACCCAGTGATCTGAGCTTGGTCATTGGAGACAACGACCCCGAAGTCAAGCGACAATCCGCCACGTACATCCCTTTGCAAAGTTAGTCAAGCATTTCTCTTGCGATCGGGTTTTCAAAGTTCATCACGCCTATTTCTGTGTCCAAAATGGTCAACGCTGAGAAGGAAATAATTCGACATGTACAGCAAGAATGTTTTAGCGAAGAACGAGAATGCCTAGAAAGAATAAACGAAAGTAGCGATAAAGATCGCAAGAACGTAACGGTTAAAAAATTGAGCTGCGTGTTCCAGCTGGATCCAGTATTAAGGGATGGGTTGATACGTGTCGGCGGAAGACTGCGGAGAGCACCAATAAATGACAACGCTAAACACCCTATCATCCTCCCGAAGACCACCATGTTATTGGACTCCTTGTATACCATTACCACCACATCTCGGGTCATTCCGGCGTCGAGCACACGCTTTCCCTCATCAGAGAAGGTATTGGATCGTAGACGGAAGATCAGCCGTGAAGAAGGTCATCGGCAAGTGCTTCAGCTGTAAGAAACGTCAGTCAACAGTATGCAATCAAAAGATGGCCGACCTGCCAGAAGACCGGGTAACGCCCTCGCTGCCACCGTTTACGTATACAGGCGTCGACTGCTTCGGACCGTTCGAGGTAAAACGTGCGAGAAGTCGTGTCAAGCGGTACGGCGTGCTCTTCACTTGTATGACAACACGAGCGATCCATCTAGAAGTGGCCCACACGTTGGACACCGACTCTTTCATCGACGCTCTCCGACGATTCGTGGCAAGACGAGGTCAACCTATGGAGATCCGCTCGGACAACGGAGGAAACTTCGTCAAGGGTGAACAAGTGCTAAGAGAAGCCATTGACGAATGGAATCAAGAACAGATTCACGACTTCCTGCTTCAATGAAATGTCAAGTGGACCTTCAATCCACGCGCTGGATCTCACTTTGGCGGAGTGTGGGAGAGGTGCATAAGAACCGTAAGGAAGGTCATGAAGGCACTGATGACGAAACAGGTGCTGCATGACGAAAGCCTCAAAACGTTGTTCTGCGAGGTAGAGTCCGTGGTGAACAGCAGACCAATCACTAAGCTGTCAGATGATCTACGGGACGAAGAACCACTCACCTCAAACCACCTGCTTCTATAACGTGGCAGTCAACGACATCGTAATGGTGCTAGACGACAGCAAACCAAGAGGAGTATGGCCCTTAGCTCGGATGTTGGAAGTGTACCGCAACGAGCGTGACGGACTGGTACGATCCGTGAAACTGAAGACAAGCAGCAACGAGTTGGTAAGGCCTGTAAACAAGATCGTCCTCCTAGAAGAAGCTGCCTGATGTTGGTATGAGATCATGATAAACATTGTCATTAGAACTAACGCTTTATTCATTTACTTATTTAGTTATTGACATTATTTCGTGTTTCAAACCATTTAAAAAAGGTATTGTAAAGGCTCGTAGTACCGCCTTTAAAGGGCCGGTATGTTGGTTTGTAACCTTAACTTTGTTATTGTTATCGTATGTCGTTAATTTCCGTTTCGTTACTTCCTGCGACTACACGCGCAGTTGCACCCAGTTTAATGTTTCATTTTGTATATCACTGTCAACTAGAGTAAGGTCACTCTATTCTACAATTGGTTACTTACGTTTATGTTTGAACTCTATCGACGGTATTCAACAGCAGTTTGGTGTGTGCGCCAACTAAAGTAAGGGGCTGTTTACATGAGCCCGGTTACCCGAGATTCAACGAAGCGTGAGAGGCCTTTGAGGTATTGAAATAAGTCTTTATGACACCAAACAAGTACATGCTATTGTTGTGGTGATTATACGACTGCCAGAATCATGTTATCTGCTTATTTCAATACCTCAAAATCATCTCACGCTTCGTTGAATTTTGGGTAACTGGGCTCATGTAAACAGCCTCTAAAGCCTGGTTTCCATATGACGCCGACCTGTCGCCGACTCATTGTCTGTAATCATCCAAGGAGAAAATGATTTCAGAAAGACAAACGATTTCACTCATCAGTAATCACCGACAATAATACTTTGCCGACGTCGGCGTCATATGGAAACCAGGCTTAAGACTCTTCTTTGTGTTATTATAGTTTGTAAACATAGCTACGCTAGTTGATTTATTCTATATTTAGTGCATGCCTGCTATAGTATTTAATTTGTCTAGATTGCATGAATTAGTGCGGTTTAATTATTGCATTTTTAGTTCGAACGTTACCCAGTATATTTCTATTCCGCGATCACTCTATCCAATATTCCGTTACCGGATCGATCAGCCGACACCGCAGAAATTGGTGTTTAAGACGTTTCAACCCGAAAATCTAATCGCTGGTTCACAATTGTGCATTTCTGTATCGCCCTATCAAAGAGAAACCTTTTGAATATCTTAAAAAAAGTTCAATTTTTCTTCTGAATACGCATTCCGCAATCTTTTGACAGCTCATCATGCACATCTGACCGCTGTGAAATGGCCATTTTGAGGCTTAAAGTATACACAAGGTTATTAATTCAGACGATTCGTTTTTACCCTGAGCAAGCTTCAAATCTTTTGTGCAAGACATATTTTCTTGAATATTTATAAATCTTTTTCCTCACCAAGTTTGAAGTCTAAGTATCGAGAATTGCGGCTAAGCCTATACCAATTTCCGCGGTGTCCGATCAGCCACCATACCTTCAACCGCACAGTATTATAAGCTTTATCATTAAAGATACATTTTATAACCATTATCCGCGCACGTGTTACTCTATCATCGTGGTTAGTGAATTTAGTGGAGTTCAATTGTGCCGTTAACGGCACACCAAAGTAGCGTAGCTCTTAGAAGAATTTGGGAGTTACAAAGTATACATTAACGTGGTTTGATAGGAAACGTTTGACAAAATTCGATTATAAGTTGCTATATATATATCTATCTCAGCCGGACAACGAATAGAAATCGTCGGCGCTTTCACAAGTTTATATATCGCCAGGTTTGTTAAAATTTCTGCGTGTTTTTGCGAAAGATCGATAGACTATAATGATTATTTTGACCAATTCCAAAATTACATTTCTCACGTTTGGAACGCTAAGAATCTCTCCAAGAGAGAATGTATAAGAGGTACCACAATGCAACGCGCAAAGTAAAATCGTGATTTTCCCTCCTGGGGCCAGTTGTATAAAATTAGCCAATCAGTCTGAATCAGAGTCATGTATTTCTGAGTTATTTTGGATTTAAGTATGCAAAGTGTAATTTAGATATAGTTTTATACAACCGACCCCTGATGTATAGATTAGGAGTGCTCAGTTCTGCCTAGCTTGCTCACTCGCTGCACCAGCAAATAGAAAGCATCGTTTCAAGGATACTTTAAAAAGCATAAAAAATCAAGATATGGAGCTTCATGGACTTAATCAATCGTGTAAGTTACGTATGCATCACTATGCACGCAGCTACATTTCTCGAAGCCTAATTTATGCATAGTGAAGCATACGTAACTTACACGCGTTCGAATCCTGGTGCTTTGCAAAAAAGTGTCGAGGTTTGATTGTGTTTCTGCATGCTGCAGAGCGGTTAAAGATTACGAGCGCCTGTATAGTATCCAACATTTAATTCGTCTGAATTTTATCAGATGAGGCGTTTTACAAAAACAAAATACTTGTGATATTATTCAAGCGCATTTACTCTTAGAGGGTAAGGTTTAACTGCACGCACATCTCCAAAATACACTTGGTATTTAAAAGCCGGTAAAGCTAAGCTCGTACACTCGCTACTCGCGAGTCGCGCCATATATTTCTCACGGTCCGCACGGATTAATTTGACACTTCTCATGTATTGGTAGGTTAACTTTCGTTCAGAACAAGATAAATGCAGGTTTGGCAAAAATGTAGTTAATTATATCACACTGACCAGCTTCGTGATTGCGAAACTGAGAGAAGTCACGTACCTGAGCCAGAAGAGCAAATCCTCATCGCTTTAAGATATTTTGCTTCTGGTAGTTTGTGACAAGTCATTGGTAAAACCTTTGCTGTTGACAAGTCAACAGTATCTGGAGTTGTTAGGGATATAAGTTTGCCATGAAACAGGAGACATTATTAAAAAGTTACAGCCGTACCCGGCTCATAGACATCGTTGACGGAGCAATCTAAATAGGGTTGAAGAAAGATTACCGACCAACTAGGCAACATAAATCTTCATAACCTAAATTTTTATATAACATGTACAGTGCCATGTCCTCTAGCAAAGATTTCCATTCATTGTATCAACTGTATAGATCTCGCCGGAAGCGAAATGAATTGTTTTCTATTTCCGCAAATTTTTCATTAACTATCGTTGTATTTGGAATGCGACAAAGAAAACAACTTAAAATTGTCGATCTTGTATAATTGCTCTAACATAGTTCGTTTCCTTTACAAGAAATCGGACTAATTGCTAACGCAGCTAAATGTGTGTAATTGCGAATGATTGTGTTCAAATAAATCTTCCTTCATGTATAGTACCTTAAAAAATAGTTTAATGGTATATATTAGTTAATTTTTCTGTTGATAAATGGTCGTAAATAAATAGTCAAAAATGACCAAAACTATAATTTGAATCAATTTTAATAAATTTTGGAATCAAAAGCAATAGCGCTATAGTGTTTCATATTGCTTTCTTTCCGTACGACAGACCAGGCTTGTCATAACAAACGATGACCAATTGCAACGTCGATTTGGCGTTCTTCTGCCGCAGGTTCAGGGATTATTTATTAAAAACAATCTGCATCACTGAGGGGGAGGGAGGACTTATTGATTTTTTGAAAGGAGGAATCTAACTGCCACTGTGATCGCGAGTATAATAGTGCTGGTGGAATTGCAGCTGTCATTAGTCAACCGTCAATTATTCATTTGTTTAGATCTAATTATCTGGCAAAATAAACAGAAATTATTGAAATCCTTTCAACCAAAATGTTGTTTGCTTTAACGATCTTGATTCACTTTGGTGGAAATCTGATCAATTGCAATGAAGATATTCCCATTTGTGACGAGCAATTAAAACAACTGAAAGAAGACGTGAAAGACTGGGAAAAGAGATGTGTGAATGAAAGTCTGGAAAACTTGGATGAAATGGAACGATATTTTACTGAAAGTCAACGATCTGACAATGAAACTCAACGATATTTCAATGAACGTCGACGTGAGAATAATTCCTCTGGTTGCACAGCAGAAAAAGAATATCTCCAGGAGAGAATGCGTATGCACTCAGAGATGTGCTTCTATGACGGTAAGCTAAACCATTCTTTAATTTTTGCAGTGTAAGTGTAAATCTCTTTTTCGTATTAAATTATTATAAAAAAACGGTTGCCGTCAGTAAATCATTCTTTACCTACCAAACTATACATGCAGTCGTGTTTAAAATTAGAACATTTTATAACTTGTTCGACTTGTAGTCACACCCACCAAATTTTTCATTTTCGGTAACCATTTTGCTTTATCTCATGACTTATTTCACCCAAGCTGCATGTGTAGAAGCAAAAGCTTTGTGTAAAAGCAAAGCTTGTAGTTAATTACTCCGTAGTTGTCTGAACGCTTTACGGGATTCGCTGACCAGAGATGGTATATGATGTGTACTTTCATGCAATTGTCCTTTGGAACTGGCGTCAAAGAGCGTAAATCCACAAAATTTCTTCCTGCTCAATATTTGCTGTTCATGATCTGGTCAGGAAGTGAGGACATAAATCTCAGCGAAAATAGTATCAGGGGGACTCAAGGGAGTACAAAAACATTGGGGACGATTTCCCGTACATACCTATGAGTGATGGAAATTCACCTTTGCGCATTTTGCTTGATCTATCCAAAACGTATAAAAAATTGCTGAATTTGAAAGATTATTACGATAAATGGGTCTTTGTTAATATGCGGCCGGAAGTATATGTGAATCAGTCACTGGTAAGTGTTGAAATTTTGCGACTTTGTCGAGGTGTTTTTGCGAGCTTTTTCGGCCTGGATATACACAAACACCATCTATTAAGGTGGTCCACTGCAAATTGTGATTGTGGTACTTGTATAGAATCATTACTATGCAATATTGTGTTGTGCTTATGACACATTTAGAATCTAAACGTTATGAACAAGAAACATTGCCAAATAGACTTAATTACTCAATGTTGAATTGAAATAGAGCATACAATTTTAATTTTAAAAATGATCATGTGAACTTTCCCAACCTGTAAAATGCTAAAAGAATAAATATGGGAGCTTTTCAATGTAACAAATATAATGAAAGATTGATAATGGAACTAAAGATGAAGTTTTGTGGTTTTTTAAGAATATTTCTATGCAGTGTGCTTGTATGTAAAGATTAGAAGGAGTAATGAAAAGTCATTGTTATGAAAAATTTACAAAGAGAGTTGTAATATAATTTGGAATAATTTTATATATAAAAATAACATGAAAAAGGGTATTAAATGTTTTCATAGTGGTCCTTATGGTAAAATTGAATTCAGTAACACACAGATGGTATATTTGCTGCAAATTGTGTACTGCAATATAAGGCATGGACAAGACATTATAGTTATCAAGGTTCCTTAATAACTTCAGGGTCAAGGATGTATTTAGAGCTGATGAACAGAAATATTTTTGCAACTCAAGCATTGCTTTATTTCCAACTTGAAGTTGAAACTACAATGTCAGCAGGGTATTGCACAGAAGATATTATTAATTTGGAACATTTGGTAACAATAAACATCATTACCATTGAAGTAACAATAAACAATACTATCATGATTCTGCCTTTAATAGAATGAAAACAAAAATAATCACCAGACAGTTTCAAATCCCTTTTTTTGATTGGGGAGAATGTTATCCTTTTTATTACATGTAAATGAATATCAAATATTAAAAGACTTTAGTGACATTGTGAGACAACTATTTAAATTCAACAGAAATAGCTGTTTTAAAATTATGTGTTTGCTTGATATCTATCAGTATCAACAGATATTCAACAGAAATAGCTGTTTTAAAATTATGTGTTGGCTTGATATCTATCAGTATCAACAGGTATTCAACAGAATAGCTGTTTTAAAATTATGTGTTGGCTATGATCTCGACATGTCTCGGGTCCACAAAACATTATGTTTCCTTCGTTCGCAGTAAATAAGTGTTAATTATTTTATTGGTATTAAGTGCATATGGTTAAAAATGTACAGCCATGCTTTTTACCTTAGAATTTAAACTAAGTTTGCCTCAACTATATTTGATTAAAATCAAGCATTAGGCTATATAACTACAGGCTAATAATAATTAATGCCTAATGGTATTATTACTGTACGCATTGTTTAGTCAGAACCAGAGTCTGTCTAAACAATCGCAAGCACACAGGATTGTAACCTTAAACTTATTTGGCTGTATATCCTCTTGAGTATATTAAAAAAGGTTTCCCAAAAAATATAATAACTTCAATGTTGCAGTAAATTCACCGTAACCAGCTATGAACTGACATATGACACCACGCGAAGGATATTTTAACAGTGTTGCCGTTGGTCAACCGCACGAGCTATCAAGTTACATATTATCTCTCCCATATCATACTAAAAATCATAGATCTTCGTATTTTGGTTAAAATTTTCCCATCTTAGTGCTTTAAATATCGACACAAAAATCAAGTTAATAGATGGTGTTTGTGTAAATCCAGGGGTGCAAACAGCTCGCAAAAAACCTCAACAAAGAGGCAAATTTTACACTTACCGGTCTCTGATTCACAAATACTTCCAGCCACATATCAACCAAAACCCATTTATCCTTAATAATCTTTGAAATTGAGCAATTTTTTAATTGTTTTGGATAAATCGAGCAAAATGTGCAAATGTAAATTTTCCTCACTCATTATAGATTTGTATGGAAAACACGCTGGCCGCGCGCTCGCCCCAATGTTTTTGACAAATAAATTTGGATCGAATTTTAAAATTTATCCAGCGAACAATCACAGAAAGCAGCACATTTCTGCATTAGTTTTTTCCGTTTATAACCATGCAAACCTGTACATTAATACGCAGTATTTCACTTCAGCTGTAATCTTTTTGCAGGACCTTATCCTGAGCAATATATGTTTTTGGCGAAGGACACTGCAATCTTGGCTGTCGATTTAACGACGCTGGATGCGACAGTCGTCGTAGGTGGAAAAAGAAATATATGGACGCTGGACATTGACATGAAAAATAAGAAAATATATTTTGCGGAATTGGATAAAGAGATTCGTCGGGCAAATTATGATGGAACTTCTGAAGAAATCGTTGTGAAGGATGCTAAGACACGGAGATTAACAATTGATTGGATAGGACGTCGTATATTCTGGAGTGATTGGAGGAAGAATATCATTAACGTGGCGACTTTAGATGGTAAAGACAGCAGAACGCTGATTAAAACTCTCGAGCCTTTGGATATAGCAATTGACCCCATCGAAGGGTGAGTGTTTCATAAATTGAGAAGTAATCGCAACAAGAGCTAATTATTGAGTTCAATTTAAGAAAAATATTATCAGCATAAATTCAGATTTGTAAGAAAGATTTTTGCGACGTAAGTAACTATATTTTTCGGATTTTGTTTTTTTCGATTTGTTTTGATTTTTGAAAATGAATTCGTTCTTCTTGATTATTGTTCAGTTTTCATGACTTGTCAGATGCTTTTTCGCATTGCCGAATCTGCCTTAACGGGTAAAATAAATCCTTCATATCTGTTCTTCAGTGCATGCTATGTAGAATGATAATTTTAATTTACAGTTTGATTCAGCTCATAACTCTACCTATTGAAGTGCTGTAAAAACACTGTAAAACAGATGGGTCTAAATAACCCATTTCCAGTTGTTGTTCTAACTCATACTTTTAAGTTAAAATAACCAAACAAAAAGAGTTGTTATTAATTGGATGCATCTAGGACAAATTAATAATTTAAACCCGAAATAATTAGTTGAAATGACCTTTCAGATTTCAACCACAAAAAATCTCACAATACTATTCAAATATAAATATACCGGATGTAATATACACCAATTTATACCATCCAAGAAAATATTCTCAATTAAATTGTTAAATTGTTAAAATATTCTGCAACTAGAAACTCATTGTGTTCAATATTCACTGTGTTAGGTCCACATTCTTACTTTATTTTCTTCATTAAATTTATAATATGCAGACAGTTAACAAGTCACTGTATTATTCAAAATGTTCCTACTTATAACTTAGCAATAAATACTCCTTCCGTCATGCATCAGCATCATTGAATTAATGTCAACCAATGTATCAATAATCAGAATTTTTGTTGATGCACATTTTTCGATCTTTTTTGTAAAATATCCTGCTACATCTGTGGGAAAAATTGTAGAGGCTTTAAGCACTATAATTAATTACAACTTCTTCAGTAACACACACTCATGCATAGATTATTTGAATTCTGATTTTAGCATTTGGAAAAATTATCTCGTGGAAAAGAACTATTTTGACTTTACATAATGTTAATTATGGCATGAACAAAAAATTATCACAAAATGCATGTACTTACATTTAAATTTCCCAAACCAAAGGTCCCCAATTTGACTTCAAGTTGTTTTCCTTTTATGATGATCAATTTCATATGTATGATGACCATCTGTTCACATCATCTATAAAATATATATAACAGTAATGATAATGATTTGTTAAAAGTATTTCCACATATATGACTTTTTGCCTTCTAAAACTAACTATTTACAATATAATAAATAAGTATCTAATTAAGAAGTTAATTGAGCAATTAAGAAGTACAATATATAAAAGATTCCCTTATTCAAGGCAAGCTTTAGCTTTTGCAAGCCAGGCAGTTTTAACTGTGTTAACAAACATTGAGAAATGTTCAATTTTTTTAATGTCAATAAGAAGCCAATAAAAGTCTTTGCAGCTATATCTTAATAAAAGGTGCCAGGTTCCTTAACTGGAATATAAATTGTAGGTGCAGCAGCATATCTTAAATTGTAAGTATTAACAACATAAAGTTGCAATTTAAAATGCTCAGATATGGTCACATTATACAATGAATTATGAACAAGCTTGAGAAGATTTAACTCTCTTCTTTCATACACAGGCAACCATCTTAATTTAAGAATTTTTTTGTATTTACATATTTACCAAGTACCAAAGCTGCGCATGCATTGTCATGCAAACATTGTAGACATTTTACCTGGTAATCAGGCAAGAGGGTGGGAATTATAACTTAACGTCAGTCAATTAATTAGTCATTATTTCAACATACCTATAACAATTTTCTACAAGATTACTGGACATAAAACAGGAATATAGCAATAATTGATTAATATTTTCTCATTAGTAGAGGTTATTGATGTGTCTGCAAACATATTTGAAATGTATCGCCATTGGCAGAATATACTAGAAAGATAACACACCTTAATTGTCCATCCTCAGTGATTTACTTTTTCATATCATTTACAATCAAATGTCAGTTGTCAGGGATTCTTGAGTCTTGATAGCTAGCTCTGCTTTTAACAGCTAAAAACAGTAAATAATGTTGTAATATATTTCTCATTGGTAACAAATAATTCTTGACAACTCAATGGTGGGCCCAACAAGGTTCTGGGTACAGAATTTAAACATATGCATGGTATGCATTAGAATTTAAACATATGCCTATGGTTGAATTGAAGTGCAGTAACATTTCAACAATCACCTAAGTGCCAAGGATTATACTCTTGTCAGATCATATGAGCCGTTGTAGGATTTAAATCATTTGATCGGAAGCGATAGAGGACAACAGACCAATGAGAGCAAGCCACTGGCCTGAATATTGATGCGCTAAATTAAAAAAAAATCAGTCTGCTAGAAATTATTTAACTTCAACCGTAATTTTACCTGCATTTGTTTTATAGTATGTATCTTCATAGTACAGGCAGAAACAAGCTTATGGTCTAATTAAACAGAGGAAAGTAATCTTCCTAGAACATATCAATATAGAAAATCATTAATAGTATATGTGTAGCGTCGACATACTTTCGAATTTATCAAATTGTCCAGATTTTTTTTACTTTAAGGCGATGAAGTAAAATAACGATTCTTTAGCAATATGTGTATTTTATGAGATAATAAATTGAATTATTGAAAATTAAACGAGATTTACCTTGTTACCTTAAGTTGAAGTTTGATGATAATTCTACCAAACCGTGGTTGCATCCTCCCGTTTTATTTAAATATGTGACGCCTGTTGTATTATCTGATTGAATTCGGATATGCGTTTCACAGGTGCTATCAAGAAGTGATGTTAACACAAACTTTATCGCCAGAAGTTCTAAAACGTTAATATGAATTTCATTTCGTGTGCGGACCACAGCCATTGTGTCCTAGTTTCGTTAACAACGGCTCCCCAACCTATATGTGAGGCATCAGTTGTCATACTCAAATGAGCCGGGATACCATGATCAATAATCCTAGATGCAGTTGGTAGGGAAGATACCCAGCACTTAATTTCATCAATACTGGCCTGTGATAGACACCATAATTTTTGTTTAAAATCCCCGTGTGAGTGTCCTAATGCTAGGGTCTTATCACGCTCTAGTGCTCTATAGTATAACGGTACAAATTCAACTCCAGGGAATGTAGAGACAACAGTTCCAATAATAGAAGCTAACTGTCGAATGGTAACTTCGTGAAACTTTGATAATTGTACACAAAGAGCGGTAATTTTATAATTTTCTTGGTCGTGAGCAAAACAGTCATGGTAGTGGAGTATAATAAAAATCCCCAAAACACCAAAGTTTGCGTTGGTTGAAATACCGACTTAGAATGATTTGGTACAAACCCTAGTTGGTCAAATAACTGAGCTGCATTAAAAGTAACATCTTTGCACAACCGAAGAGAATCTTCAATGTAAATGGAGTCATGAATGTAACCGAGACAAGAGTGACCAAATTTTGATCACAGTGTGTTCAATAGTCGCATCGCTGAAGCAGTAGATTGATAAAGTTTCCTCTCCAAGATAATTTAAGGTATTTTCTATCGGACCGTATTATGGGCACAGAATAGTAAGCGTGGCGTAAATCAATGGTATGCATGAAAACACGGAGTCTAAGTTACGGAGTCCCGGAGTACGGAGTCCCGGAGTGAAGTGTCCAAAACTTTAAAACACGGAGTGGTAAAAACACGGAGTCGACGTAAAAACACGGAGTCCACGTAAAAACACGGAGTCCACGTAAAAACACGGAGTCCACGTAAAAACACGGTTTTTACTCAATATTTTTATTTTATATGTGGTTGCAGGTATTCAGATCCTGTGGAGATGGCTATCCCCTCATTGCAGGGGTGTTGGAGGGTGCCTTTGGAAGATGAGATGATTGGCAATGTGGCAATGATGATGATCATTTTCCCCGGCACGCTCCCAAGCCGCGCTTTATAATTTCACTAACGGGAATACACGTGGGATTGAATACCACCCTTTCTCACAAAATCACCACACATTGGGGATGTTTTATGGAACCAATCAATTCAGAGAACAGGAACCAATCGATTCAGGGATTAGCCCCCAATAGCAAACCAACAGCCCACTACATACGGATAAACAGAATGCTCATACATATTTGGACTTCATCATCATCGCCGATCTCACCACGAATTCACGTCACACAATTTCCGCTCATTACCACAAATCACATATGCGAGCACGTCGTTCCAAGACCTGCTAGCGGGTTAGAAACGTGCTTTCCCTAGTTATGCTTGGAGTCTGATGAAACGTAACTACAGTTTTCAACGAAAAACAAACGAAAGGGACTTGACCAGAATGGCAATAACCGGCATTCATTCCGGCCAAGGCATCTCATGCGTTTCCATATTGCACCCGGGTTTTTCCAAACAACAAACACATATTCGTAGCATTTCAACCATTTTCAAACCGTGTTTTTACGTGGACTCCGTGTTTTTACGTGGACTCCGTGTTTTTACGTGGACTCCGTGTTTTTACGTCGACTCCGTGTTTTTACGTCGACTCCGTGTTTTTACGTCGACTCCGTGTTTTTACGTCGACTCCGTGTTTTTACCACTCCGTGTTTTAAAGTTTTGGACACTTCACTCCGGGACTCCGTACTCCGGGACTCCGTACTCCGGAACTCCGACTTCGTGTTTTCATGCATACCTAAATCAATAGCGGTCAACAAGGGCAGATTTCGTTCTAAGCCAATCAGCGCGTTTGTTGACATTTTTGCTCTCCGCCAATCAGAATGCTTGAAAATAAAAATTGTAAACAAAAGGAGCGAGAAAATATTGCCGTATTCTAACGCATCCGTGAGCCAGAATATTTACTTTTTATATTCGAAACCGAAAGAATGCAATAAAACATAAATATATCTTGAATTTTGCCGTGGGGTTTTTTAAATTTCAAAACATAACGTGAAATATCGACGTTTGAATTACTGCAATGATGGCGCGCTATGGCTGCAATATATCGTTAAACCCGATAAATTATTTGGGGAATAATGTCGGTTTCTTCTCAGGATTCTCCTTTCCGTCTCATGTTTTCATTTCAGTTCTGGATAATGCTACTTGGAATGAGTTGGATCTTTGGGACAATGAAAACACCATGATATAAATAATAACCATTGTTCGGAGCTTGCTAAGATGTTTTTTTACGCTCAGTGGACATTCTGTCAGAACATATGGCATTGTTTATGCTATAGTAGAGATTCACAGCACCAGCATCCCTGCATGTCACCTCAAAGGCATTGGGATCCATTTTTGGTTGGGAAAAATTGTCAATGTGATTTTTTTAAGATCATCACTGAAATTGGGGCAAAATGATGCTTTCTTGAGCAGTGAAGAATAATCATCTGCAGAGAGAAATACACTGTCAACTCTTTAGCACTCTTTGTCTGCAACATCCAATATCTTTTCTGTATAATTGCTGCATGGGTGAACTTTAAAGTTATTGTTGTTGTGTCACTTGTTTGGCGCTGTATGATGCTTCTTGGTTAAGTGCTTGATCTTCTACATTATGTTGACTTTCAGCAACCTTATCAGTGGCTACAATTATATCACCGGCCTGGCTATTAGATTGTTCTTGCTTCTCATTCGATTTTTGGCTGGATTCAAGGTGATGAATGGATGCATATAGTACCAGTACATTCAGGATTAACATGCATCTGCAGCAGAGTATAGTAAAGTACAGTAAGTTAGCTATAATTATATTAATTTACCATAATTAACATGTTGGAGGGTGGAAGGGAGGTGTATAGGATTACTTATGTAATTTTATATTATAATGAATGTAACTCTCAATTTAATTATAATACATCTGGAGGTAGTGCCCATTCCTGGGTACCATGCCATTATGCCAATTTCATTTAGAAGCATTGTGTGAAGCCTAGGCACCAGAAAAAGTGCCAGCACAATTGCTGGGCACTCAATCAGAACACAGCCTTTATTCCTCAAACTTCATCTGAATGCCTAATCTTATATTGTGATCTATGATCAAGTAAATTGTAAATTATTTGTGATGCTACTAATTGTAACCTA